TATCTTCCCTCCCTCCCTTCCTCCCTCTTTCCTTCCTTCCTTCCATCCATCCATCCATCCATCTGTCCATCCATCCATCCATCCCTTCTTCCCTATGGATCAAGGCTTGCTGTCCATAAATGCATGGGTGTGTGCCCATTCATTGGAGCACAGTCAACCCACAACAGACCATACATCCCTCTTAAAGAAAACTGACCCTCCTCCCCAAGCAACCATCAGCTATCAATAGCCCAATACTCAGACCAAGAAGGTTAGTGATACCCCTCACAGGGTGTGCACATAGGTGACCAGCTAAGGGCATCCAGGCAAGGAATCAGATGATCTGAAAGGTGGCAGCATTTGGTGGCCCATACACACTCATCTTGTCATCTGGACCTCCTTTACTGCCACCTAGCTACACATGCATGTGGTGCTGGTTGGGTTTCTGTGAACCTGACACAAACTAGTGTTATCTGGGAAGAGGGAACCTCAACTGAGAAAATGCCTCCATCATATTGGCCTGTAGGCAAATCTGTAGGGCATTTTTTTAAAAAATGATTGATGTAGAAGGGACCAACCCATTGCTGATGGTGCCATCCCTGGACTGGTGGTCCTGGGTTCTATAAGAAAGCAGGCTAAGCCAGCCATGAGGAGCAAGCCAGTAAGCAGCACTCCTCCGTGGTTCTATTTCAGTTCTAGCCTCAGTGATGATAAAATAAATTGCTTTGGCCGTTATGTTATTATAGCAATAGAACACAAACTACAACACCCTGTTCAGTTCAGCCTCTTCCACACCCTGGGCAGCCAGGAGTTAATCTGTTTCTGAATAGAGACTCTATCTTTCAGCATTGGAGCAGGCCCAGGGAGATGAGCCAGGGGTTACAAGAAAGTCCAGAATGCATTGCTCTTCATTCACCCTCTCCAGCTTCCGCCTCTCTAGACTTCCCATAGTCTCTTTGATGATCATACACTGCTGTTTGATCATGGGGTGGGGGCGGGGCCATCAGCAAAGCAACACTTGGCCTGGGTGAGGAGGAGAGGAAGCTCTTCTGAAGGCAGAAATGTGTATGTTGAATTGTGTGAGAGCGACCACAATTGAGCACTAAATTTAGTATGAGCTTCCTGGAAATGGGGTACAAAGGGAACCGGGTGGGGCATGCGATTGTTGTCGGACGAAGTAAGCATCCAGTTTAATCCATAGGCATGAATGTTTCGGGGTAGTAAGTAATTCCAAGAGGGATATTTATATAAGGAATGCTTTCCATTGCCGGTTTGTGAGACTTGCACTAATGTTCTTTGAAGGTGACATTTGCAGAGCCTCAGTAAGAGCTCTGCAATAATGGGTCTTGACTTACAGAAGTCTTTCCTGTGGGCAGCTGAGCTGATGTGGTCCAGGTAAATTGCTTTGTGGTGATTTCACTTTGTGAAGTGAGAGAACATTAGTAACTTGAAAAATTGTGGATTTAGTCTGTCTTGTTCTAACACCAGCTGCCTCAGCAATGCTTCTGGGAAGTTCTGGATAACAGTCAAGGGCAAGCAATGTGATGGATGGATGGTACCTGAGGCTCTGAGGTCTTGTCCTGTGACTGGAGAGTGACACATGGCCTGTTACAAAGACTAGGAACTTTACTCAGGCCTTGTCCCGGTGGGTGGTACTCCATTGTTGACATTTTATTTAATTTTTTATTAGATTTATTTATTTATATTTATCTGTTGTGTAGAGGAGTGCATGCACTATAGTGTGTTGGGGCCAGAGAACCACGTGTAGGAGTCTGTTCTTCTCTTTCCATCACATAGGACAAACCTTGTCAGGTTTGATGGCAAGTGTCTTTACTAGCTGAGCTATCTCACCAGCTGGGTTTTCCTTCCTCCCCTTTCCCTCTCCCCGTCCCCTTCTCTCTCCCTTTTTTCTGGTTCAGACTCAGGTTTCCCTTTTGTGAATGACTGCTTCAGGGTGGCCACCCAAGAACGATCACAAATGCCAGCTCACTGATTAGAAGTGTAGTGAGTTTCTTCCTAGCTTGTGCAGCAGATGCCCATGTGGGATCACACACATGAATTAGTTAGACAAGCATTCCCTTTTTCATATATATAATTTTTCTTATTTTACATATCGATCCCAGTTCCTTCTCCCTCTCTCCCTCTCTCCCTCCCATGCTCCCTGACCCTCCTTTCATACCCCCCCCCACTTCATGGTGAGGGTGATGCCTTCCAGGAGGGATCATCAAAATCTGTGAAGTCATTTGGAGTAGGGACTAGGCCCTCCCTCCTGTCTCTAGGCTAAGGGAGTATCCCTTCATGGGGAATGTGTTCCCAAAGTCATTTCGTGCACCAGGGATACATCCTGGTTCCACTGTCAGAGGGCCCTTAGGCCTTCTAACTGAGAACCATGTTCAGAGGTCTGAGTTGGTCCAATGCTTGTTTCCCAGCTATCAGTCTGGGGGTTCATGAGCTCCCCCTTGTTCACGTCAGCTGTCTCTGTGGGTTCCTGTAGTCTGCCTTGACCCCCCCTTTTTTAAATCATTCCTCCCTCTGCAGCTGGATTCCAGGAGATCAGCTCAGTGTTTAGCTATTGTTTCTGTTTCCATCAGCTACTTGATGAGGGCTCTATGGTGGTATATAAGTTAGTTATCAATCTCATCATCAGGGAAGGACATATAAGGTAACCTTTCCACTGTTGCTCAGATTGTTAGTTGGGGGTCATCCTTGTAGGTCTCTGGACATTTCTCTAGAGTCAGTTTTCTCTTCAGACCCATAACAGTTCCCTGTATTATGGTATATCTTCTCTCTCTCTCTCTCTCTCTCTCTCTCTCTCTCTCTCTCATCTATCCATCCTTCGACTCAATTTTCCTGGTCCCACATGTTCTCCTCTCCTCCCCTTCTCTTTCTCCTAACTCCTTCTTCACTCACTGCTCCCCCCCCCCCCAATATGCTCAGGAGATCTTGTTCCTTTCGCCTTCTGTGAGGGACCTTGTAAGAATCTCTTAGGTTCCTTCCTGTATCCTAGCTTCTCTGGCAGTGTGAATAATAGGCTGGTGATCCTTTGCTCTATATCTACAATCCTTATATGAGTGAGTGCATACCATGTTCCTCTTCTTCTGCATTCCCTTTTTCATTCAAGGCACTGCTTTGCAGAAGTATTAACTGTGAGGACAAAGTGAGATGTGTGTATAAGGCACTCAACACAATGCCTAAGGCATTGCAGCTGCTCACTTCAGGGTAGCTGCTTTGTTCTGTTTAGTTGGGTTTTTTAAATAATTTATTGACTTATTTAATGTTCATTGATGTTTTGCCTGCATGTATGTCTGTGAGAGGGTGTGGAGAAGCCCTGGCGTTACAGATAGCTGTGAGCTGCTATGTGGATACTGGGAATTGAACCTGGGTTTCCTGGAAGAACAGACAGTGCTCTTAAGTGCTGAGCCATCTCTCCAGCCACAATTGGGTTGAGTTTTGAGACTGAGTCTTGTTCTTTTGTTTTTTGTTTGTGTTGCAGCAAGGCTGGATGCCTTTGCATCCACATCTTTCTAGTCCCTTGTCTCTATGGATAGCCTGCACCTTTGCCTGCATCTGTTTTCATTAAGGTCCAGTCACCAGAACAGCAGATTGTGCTCCTGGTGTCAGGGGGTCTGTGGTTTTGCAGGAGAATAAAAGGAAACTTCTCTTTCCTTTTCTTTCTCTCTGACTATGTCTAAAGTCTATTTGTGCTTTTGGCCACAACTGCACACAAGAATGGTATTCAGAGAACGTTTTATAACAGCAGATTTTTTCCCTTTTTGGAGCCATGATTGACAGCTGGAAGCTGTCATGATATAGGCCCACACAGCTCTTTACTGCTGTTGGCTTCAGGTGGAAAAGAAAACAATGCACCTTCTTTCCTTGCCCCTTCATTTTGTTCCCCAGGCTTTCCTGCACTTAGTTCTTGCCAAGAACTATTTCATGGAGCTGGTATTTGAACTCAGGGCCTCATGCTTGTTAAGTGAGTTTTCTACCACTGAGCTGCATCCTCAGTGTGGAGCTTTAAGGTAGCTTCTAGAGGTCAGGTCTTAAGTACCTCTGGAAAGTTTCCCAATGGAAGGAAGCTCTCAGCCAGACATCTATGAGCAGACCATGTGTTCTAACCTATGGTATATATCTGAATCTTTGAGGCTCTGACAGTTATCTGAGGGCAGCCACCTGTTTCATGGATCAGGGAAAAAAAAAGGTTCCCAGCCTAGAGTCTTTGTTCTCCTGGAGTGCCTGCTCAAGTATTACACTGGTTTGAAGACATCACTCTAAAGCTTAGTGAGATGAAGTAACAATAATGAAGTCTGTGAGCTTCTAGGTGAAATTAAGTAAAATCCCTGGAGCAGTAATGCATTCTCCTGTTGGTTAGTAGTTCTGTCAATGAATGTAGTTGGATGGCTTTTCAAAGCATAAGCTTTATTTATGGTGGCCACGATTTAGGAACTAGTAAGGAGGCTTTGGGGGTGACCATTGGGAACTACTGTCCTAGGCTGTGTCTTGACTGTGTTCTGCCAGCCCCAGTGCTGACTGAGGGACTGCACACCCTCTACGGGCTCAAAATTGGTTCACAGTATGGACTGGGTTCAAATAGCATTTGAACAAAAGGGTTACAGTGCTTAAAGCAAACCGGCAGCAGTAGCCTTATCACGGTGGCCTGTGTTGTAGAATTCCTACAGCAACTGTGGAATGCAGTTCCTCTATAGAAAACAAGATAGATTATTTCTTTGGGTTTCTCCTGACTTCCTTTTAGCTTGCATAGAAAGCTTAGCTCGTGTATGGTGAGTGAACTAACTGTGTCTCTAGCCAGCTCTGAGAGACTTAGAACTGGTGAGGAGAAAATGAAGGAGGGTCTCCTAGTTGCACTTACTTGTATCATCATGTTACAAGAGTCTACTTTGTATCATATCCATGGTATTCAGATACACATCTGAATTCAGATACACATCAAACATAATAAGTATATTTGTACCTACATTAGCCATTCAAGTAGTTTTGAAGCACATTTTCTTCTGTTTTAGCATCTGGAAGTATAAAGAATGTTAACAACTCCACCGATCCCCAAAGCCCATCAGTCACCCAGACAAAGATTACACATGTCACCAACACATTCGCTAATGGTGTCCCAAGAATGCTCCGGTCTTTGACTGTCAGTGTGGAACCTATAAACGAGAGAGAGAGTTTCCATGAGCATTCCAGAATTGCCATAACTTCAGCCTCAGTCCATTCTTCACCTTCTGTGGTTGACTCAAGGACAGACAGCAGACTGACTGAGAGTCTAGGAGATGGAGAAGGCATTGAGCCATCTGCAGAAAATGGACTTGGACTTCCATCCATACACTGGCAAAGTGATTCCCCCAGTAAGTAGTTCACCTTTATTTGAATTGTGGGCATTTTATATAATTGGGCGTTCTTAGGGAGTCTCCTTGAGACCATTTGCAGTCTGAAGAAAAGTGTCCCTGATGACATCAGATCCTTGTCTGCTCTATCCCAAGATTGTATTTTTATCTTTGGTTGTGAACAAATGCCAGGCCTAAGATGAGAACACCAAGATGTGGAGGGCTTAAGTAAAGCAAACACAGCTTTCTCAGGAGAGTGGAGACCTCAGCCTCGGGACTCTCTCAGTTTGATCCGTCTTCATTCTATAATGTCATCTTTAAAGTGAGACCCTGACCTGCTCCTCACAGCTGGTGGCTTCAGTGATTTTATGTATAGATCATCTTTATAAATAAGTTGTCAGACATAAATATATTTCCCAAATGCATAGCTTGGCTTACTCCTTATAGTTTATTTTATTGTACATCAGAAGTAGAAGAATGTTTATCAATGTTCCAGTTGGTTTTTAGGAAAACTCTCTGCCTACAGTATTTATGCACATTGAACTTGCTGGATGTAATGACTGCTCCCTTGAACTACTTTTCAAGGGATAGAGAAACACTCAAGCCTATAAATTACTGTTTGCTCATGCTGTTCTCAAGTCTCCTGTCCATAACTTTTATTTTCAATATTTCTATAATGAAGACATCCAATAATTTTAGAAAAATTTAGAACATGGTGAAGCTTACAGGGTGGCCCATATAAACACTTGGCTGAGGGAAGCTTGCCTTAGAGGGACTCCATCTTAGTTGTTAAGCATCTTTTCTGGGTCCACTAATGGCCTCCCCTCCCCCCAATATCTTACAGCCTTTGGAGGACATCAGCTTGCCAGCAGCTGGGAACTGGGAAATGGAAGTGCCATACCTCTGACTGAGACGGCGTTTAGGTCAGTCCCCTCCATTGGTGGTGGAGAGAGCACAGGACAGTGGTTCCCCAGTGAGAGCAAAACATCTACAGATACAGCAGAGAGCTCCGATTTGCATCCAGACGTTGGGAGCACGCGGGGTTTGACACAGTTCGCACACACTGCACAACAGCCCCGAAATGGTGGCTCGGGGTTGGGTGGGAAGAGTTACTCAGAGCCTTCATCTACATCTTCCTCGGAAAGTCTGGATTCCTCAGCACCACATGAAGGACATTCAAGTGAGTTCTTACCTCGTGGAAGTATACCACAGGGACTTAGGGTGTGTCTGCTCCTATGACCTTCTAAAGCCTGCATTAGGAAAGTAATTGTACTGGTCCCAGGCCATTCTTTTAGCTGGTTAATACAAGTATGCCTACATGTCCCATCCTTTTTGGTACATCCCAACTCTCTCTCTAGGGTGTATGCATATGCGTAAATGTGTGTGCAGGTGTGCAAGGGCACACATGCAAATGGAGGCCATCGGTCAGCCTCCGGTATGTACTTCAGAAGCTATCCGCTTCATTCTTTAGACAAGTCTCTCACTTAGATTTGGGGCTCACTAATTAAATAAGGCTGCCCCCATGTCCTGGAGCTTACAGGTACTTGTGGCCATGCTCAGCTTTTTAATTGAGTGTTAGGATTTGAACTCCAGTCTCATACTTGCACAGCAAAGCTTTTGATGCCACCTCACCTCCCCTTCCTCATATAGAATGGTGGGGGGGCTTCTGTGTCCATGCCCTCTCATGGTGTATAGCCTGCCCCAAACCCCGATACCTCCTCGTCACAGAACTTCTGGACATTTCCTGTGGAAGCAATCTTATCATATATGGACTTTTTGTGTATTTAACTTTACATGGCCTCAAGATTCACCAAGCATGCATTTGTCTTTCTGAATGATGTTCCATCAGGGATCCACTATTATTAATAGTGTCCCTATGATTGTTCAGGAACACATTTTATTCTGTCTTGGAATTACACGGGAATTACAATAGTTACAAGTTATACAGTAGTATCTTGTTTTTCAAGACAGTGTTTCCTCTGTGTAACAGCCTTCCCTGTCCTGAACTTGCTCTGTAGCCCAGGCTGGCCTCCAACTCACAGTGATCCACCTGCCTCTGCCTTCTTAGTGCTGGGTTTAAAGGTATGAGCCACGACCATTGCCTGGCTAGTAGTATCCTTTTTAAGCTTTTGAGAAACTCCCAAACTATTTTCCAAAGTGTGTGTGTGTGTGTGTGTGTGCACATATGTGTAGATGATGGTATAAATGTGCATTTCCCAGTTCATTATCCTAGTAATAATGAACATCTATTCATACAATCCTTCCACGTGTATATCTTCTTTGAAGATACCTATTTGAATATTTTGACTGTTTAAAAATTAAGCTATCATTTTGCTCATTGAGTATAAAGGGTTTTGGAGTTTTGTTTGTTTGTTTTGTATATTCTGGACTCTAATTCCTTTTGATTTGTGTAATTTGTGGCCACTTTCTCCCATTTTGTGATTTGTAAGTTTGTACTTTTTAAAGTATTTATTTTTACTTTATGTGCATTTGGGTTATGCCTGGATTTGTGTTTATGTGAGAGTGTCAGATGGCCTGGAGCTGAAGTTACAACAGTTGTGGGCTGCCATGTGGGAGCTGGAGGAGCAGCCAGTGCTCTTAACCGCTGAGCCATCTCTCTAGCCTGTCATTCTTACTTTATGATGATATTATTGGAGAATGAATGTTTTTAACTTTGGTGAAGTCTAATACGAACATTTTAGAACATTTGGCATTTGTTTTGTGGGCCTTTGTTGTTGTTTTATTTTCTTTAAATAGTGATTTTGAGTAAATTTTGTAAACAGTTCCTAGTGCCTTTTATCATCATAAAGTAGGTGCTAGTTAAAGCAAGCATGCTTGTTAAGACATTTCTGACAGATTTAAATTCTTACCTACCCAGCTGCTAATAACTCCCCATTTCTTCCATATGAGAATCCTCATCGATGAAGGCAAATCACAGCTTATTATTACACCTGTAACATGCAAAAGTGTCTGAGCATGAAAGAATCGAGCACATGTGTGAGCCTGGTGTGGTGGTACATGCCTTGTAAATCCAGACTTGGGGCAGAGGCAGGTGGATTTCTGAGATCAAGGCCTGCCTAGTCTACAGAGCAATAGGACATCCAGGGCTACACAGAGAAAAGAAAGGGAAAAAGAAAGAGCAAATGTGTGAGGAGAAAATGTCCGGTCTTTTATTTCTTGCCTGGGAAGTACCGTTTTCCACCCTCAGCACTACTGGCCCAGGATTTTTACCTTCTCAAAGTGAGACCATAGTTCTTCTCCCAGGGCCACCCAGAGTTGTGAGGCTTGAATTGAGGGCATTGTGCACACTAGGCAACACATGCTAAAGCTGTGCTGAGTCCCTAGCACGGTCTTTGGTTCTATAGCTTTTCCCTTTTACATCTCTCAGTACACCTCTCCGCAGGTAATGTTGCATTGATCCATGTGGAAAATGTGATTTCATTGTGATCAGACTTTAATGAGGCTGAAGGGGTGGAGGGAGATGGGTCAACCATTAAGAGCACTTGCTGCTTTTTGCAGAGGACCTTAATTTGGTTCCTAGCACCCACATAAGGCAACTTCCAACCTCATATAATCCCAACTCCAAAGTATCTGCTGCCATCTCCTGGCCTCTATGGACACCTGCACCCATATGTACATATGCACACATGCACATACACATAATTTAAATTTTTAAGTTCTCTTTTAAAGCTAGATAAGGAGTAGCCTCACACCTGAAATTAACTCAGTATGGATTAGTATACTGCTTTCTCTCTTTGCCTCTGAATCAGCCCAAAGCTGACTAATTATGACACCTGCCTTGGATAACTCTCAGTCTGCCCAATTCATGGTTCAGATTCAGCTGTTTCAGGCTATGATCCATCCCTCTGTTGGGCCTATAACCCTGATGTGATTGTTTGCCTGCCTCAGTTTCACTTGTAGAGTATATAAGATCTCTCAGCCAATATCTTTTCCTTTTGCTCACAAAATTATTTCAGAGGTTGGGACACTTACATCTATGCTAGATGACTGGGCACCCAGGTGTCTCCCAAGTCCTTCAGTATGCCTTAGGCCACCTTTGTGGTTCCTGGCTCACTGTTGCTCTGGAACTGTCTGAGTGCTCATTTCCAAGTGAAGGTTCTTTTCTGGGCCAGGATAGGAAGCCTGGGGAAGCCAGAGCTCTTCAAACCAGGTCTCTTCAAACCAGGTCTCTAGCAGCTTCTGTTTCTCTTGGTGTTTGATAGTGTCAAACAGTGACAAACAGGACCCTGTAATGTCCCAGGCCCAGGGCAGGCCCCACGCATCGGGACCCTTGGTGATGACCCTTGTAACAGCTCTCAGCCTGGGTTCTGAGGGTCTTAACCTTGAAGGCATGACTCTCTTTCCAGAAATTTGGTGTCCAGAGCCTTCAGAGCCTCTTCATTGGCTCTTTACAACTTTTATTAGTTCCTCGTTCTCTTTTGTGCTCTCTGCTTCTCTTCTCCTTGCTCCGGCCACTCTGCTCCAGGTGCCTACCCCTGTCAGAATCGTGGGTGGGAAGCCTGGGTGCAATCGGGGGCACCTTGTAGGAACTGGGTGCTGGGTGCTGCCGGAATTACTCAGGCACAAGAATCTGTTCCCACTGACTGGCAGGTGGGATCCCACAGACAGGTGGGATCAGCAGGCAGTCTGCTGCTATGCCCAGCTCTCACCATGTCCACTGCCAGGAGTTCCAAGGCTTCCCACTTTTCAGAAACTAAAACAGCAGTTGCAGAGGGGTGCTGAATCTGTGCACCAGGAAGCCAGGCCTGGGGCTTGAGAACCTGAATGGAGGCACAAGCCGTACGGATCATTTCCAAGCCAATGGGGTCTCTGTAGGCTGCCCAAGAGTGAGTGTGTGCACTCAAGTGGCCCGCTGGCAATGCTGGGTGGTGTGCCGGGCCCCATCACTGTGACTCTAAGATCTTCAGCTGTCTAGATGGAGCCTGACCACCATAAAATTTAAAACATAAACATTTAAATAAATAGGGTTTTTAAAGGATTTATTTTATTCATGTGTATTTGTACATAGCCACATGAGTTTGGACGTGTGTTTATCATTTCTGAAAAGGATTTACTTGGTAATCTAATAATATAAGCTATTTCTAAATTTAGCATACAACATATACGCTTCCAAAGGAGAGAAAGGGTATGTATTTATGTGGTACCTTCCCTATTCCAATAAAATAGAACAACATTAAAAATAAAAACAGGACTTGGAGTTGGTAGTGATACCTTTAATCCCAGCAATGGGGATACAGAGGCTGGCAGATCTCTGTGACTTTGAAGCCAGCCTGGTCTACAGAGTGAGTTCTGAAACAGCCAAGGCTACACAGAAAAAACCCTGTCTCGAAAACAAACAAACAAAAACCAGATAAACACGTAAATGAAAATAAAACAGGGCCAGCAGGATGGCTCCATGGGTAGAGGTACTTGGCGTCAAGCCGAATGATATGAATTCCATCCCCAGAGCCCAAACAGTGGAAGGAGAGAATGGACTCCACAAAATCTCTTAAGTTTCCCACTCCCGCTGTGGCATGTGCACTCCCCACATAAATATAGAAATATAGAATAAGGAATAAACAACACCAACCAAGCCCACCCTCAGCCTCCATGCTATGTTGTTGTTGTTGTCATTGGTTTGTTTTCGAGGCAGGGTTTCTCTGTGTAGCCTTGGCTGCCCTAGAACTCACTTTGTACACCAGGCTGACCTTAAACTCCTAATAATAATCTGCCTGCCTCTGCCTGGTATTAAAGGTGTGCACCACCACTGCCCAACATCCATGCTTTTTTTTTTTTTTTTTTTTTTTTTTTTTTGACCCATGGTAACTGATGCTCCACAGGCCAAGCCCTGAACTTGCTACCAACTTCCCTGATAGAACTTCCCCTGATTCTTATATTGTATCACTGAGCAGAAATCCAGTATTCTGGCTCCTTTGGCTGGAGTAACACTCCTTATGGTGAGTTCAGGACACCCGAACAGAGAGGTGTCAGCCCTGTGGTCACAGGTAAAGAGCCCTAAGGAAGCCTCTGGGCCCCAGTGGCCTGGGATGTGAAGCTAAAAGCCCTGTCCCTGCATTTACCTCTCTTTCCTGCAGCTCCAGAAGATGGTGCGCTGCTGAGTGACAGCTCAGACCTGGCAGAGAGCACTTCTGAGGCACGAGCCCTGCACACCCACACGTCTGCAATGCTCACCCGGAGTGGGGAGCGCACCCTGCGGTCCCTTGACATCCCGCGCACTGCAACCCGCCCTGTGCACCCCACTCAGCGTGGGAATGTGACAGAGCACTCGGGCCTGCTGTCCCAGGCACCTACCCTTGGAGGTGTGTCTTCCCACTGCCGCATTCCCTGTAGATCGCTTCTCAGTCCCGGGATGGTTGTGTTGGCTGGCAACCCAAAAAGTAGCTTACTGCTCATTAGGAAAAGAACCTTCTAGGTTCTCCACCGCAGGAAGCACTCCCACCCCCATCGCCTTGTGCTTGTTTGAGGTATGAGGGTTGATGTCTGCCTGAAAGGTTTAAAATAAAGCAGAGTGGTAACTGTGGTTAAAGTCATCTCCTGGGAAGAAATACCTCATTACAGTGTGGAAAGTTGGGAGCATTTTCCATTTTTCCATTCGATAATGGCAATTACTGTTTAGGATCTTGGGAGCTTTTCCATGGCAATTTGCTTTTATTAAAAAAGGGCATGAGGAAAGGCTTTGGAAATGCTCCCTGTTTTTAGGCTCCTCGCTTCTCCGTTATTCCCACTTATGTTACTATAGCTGCTCCTCACAGGAGGGGTCCTCTCTGAGCCACCCCTGTTTTAGCCTTCTGGGATCATCCTCACTGAGAGTGCTTCTCAGGAAAAATCACCTCTCAGAGACAGTGTCTCCCTCACTTAAGTTCAAGGATAAGTCATGGCAAATATTTTCCAGTGCCCATCTCAAAGATTTCTTGTTTACTTGACCCAACTTTGTCTTTTCTCTTTGTAGTCCCTGGACTTAGCTATGGTCAAGAGCGCGGCTCAGACGATGAACAGAGGACCTCCAGTGGCCACACAGACCACGCCTATGCTTCATCTGCTTTCACCAAAGGAGAACGGGCATTACTGTCCATTACAGAAAACTCTTCCTCCTCAGACACCAGCGAGAGCTCAACCTCTTCCATTAAGACCTCAGACTCTCCATACTTAGACTTTTCTTCATCTCAGGCTAAAGGAAGTAACGTGTCCTCCTATGATGGCGAACCTGTTCAGTCTTCCACCGAGTCCCTGGTTCTGCATACATCCAGCCTTCCATCCTATACATCCACTGTTAATGGGTCAAACAACTTGGTTCTTGATGCCAGTACTAAGTCAATTGAGGACCCATCTGATTCAGGAGTCCCATCACCTCTCCCATCAGCGCCGCAGCCCCACCAGTTTTTATCAACCTTACCGTCAACTCGGTCTCCTATGCAGCAGCTAAAGTCTACCTCCGAGACAGCCACGCCTTCGTCATCCTCACTGTCACCTTTGCCCATCTCCTTGATGGTGTCAACCCTTGCCCCACACTCTGTCTCACAAACAGACTTCCCCACGTTCATCATCTACCCTAGTCCCACACAGGGCAAGGGAACCACGTGTAACGTCGGTCCAGATGTCAACAGTGGAATCAGCCATTGCAGTGTTCCCCGGCAACCAAACAGCAGACCCCAAGAACCAGAGCACCCCACAGCAAGAGAAAACCATCACAGAAGCCAAGTCGCCAAGCCTGGTGCCTCTGCCCACAGACCCCGCCAAAGCAGTAACAATGAGCCTCCCTGCAGGGACCCCTGGTCCCCAGCCTTCATGGGGTTCCCCACAGAGCCAGCCCTTTCAGACACAAGCACCACCTTAGCCCGGATGTCTCCAGCTTTGACGTCTTCTGTTTCCCACACTACTCACGCTCCTGTGACCAGTCCCAACACCCCAAGCATGGAAACTTTGACCTCAGGCACTGTCGTCGTGCACACGACCCCTGAGAAACAGCACCAACCAACCAACCCTGACATTCTAGTGCCACCAACCTCGCCGGAAGGGGTCGTCACCACAGAAGGGAACCAGGTGCATGTGGACCCTACCACTCCGTCTATCCCTCTGACCACTACACCCACATCAGCAGAAGTGACCACAAAGCTCAGCCAGGCAGAAGAGGCCAGCCCAGTTTCACATTTTCTCAGAACATCTTCACCTCAAACTCCAGATGTTTCTACAGCTGAAATATTGACTTCCAAATACACCACCTTTGCTGCTCAGAGCACCCCAGAGTCACCAGCAGCATTGTCCCCTCCGACCTCAGGTAAGTGCACCTTAAAAACACACATCAACTGCTACAGCCCCATCCAGCCTGGGTCTATGCGAATGTGTCGGTGCTTGAAAGTGTCTGTTGGATGGTCTAGAATGACTCCCGTTGAAATACAAAGCATGAAATGTGAGCAGTGTGAGCCTAATGGTCTCCTAATAACCCCCTCCCAAGTCACATGACCCTTTCTGAAGAAAGCGAAGGAGGACACTTTGGTCCTGTGTGACATGCATAGAAGATATAACTGTAGCCTTTCATGCCCTGTTATTGTCCAAGCTTTGCAAGCATGCCTTTGACTCATCTCAGGTCAGAGCTAGGCATAGATGTGGGTTTGGACAATGGGGGAACTGCAAAAGCAGTGTTATCAGGGCTAGGATGCAGAAAGGGGGCAGAGCGCTTGCCTAACATGTGCATAGTCTCCAGCAAGTTTTCTACCAAAGAAAGCCTTAGGTGGTCTGTTAGAGGTAGGGCTGGGCTGAATGCCTACTCTCCAGCTGCTCTCCATGCAGGGAGGCCCAGAGTTCTTTGTCTCCATGATGCTAGTTGGTAACCAGGGGACATGTAAACCAAAGGATGCTCAGCAAACCTCTTCCTAGTGGCCGTTTGACCAGAGTTTCTTTACCTTGTGCATAAAGTTATCTGTATGGCTGTATTGAAGGTGCCTGTCTAAGGAAAGAAAGCCAGCCCAGGGCAAAGAAAGGTACAGGCACAGCAGGGTGTGGTGCTCACAATGTACCTGTAGTTGACCCAGACTCAGTAAGGAAGAACTGCTGATGAAGAAGGCGAGGCAGATGCCATCTTAAGTGAGAGGGAAATGTTGTGGTACAGCAGTGGTCTCAGTTAGTGGTACAATTTCAGTTTGTCAGTGAAGATGAACCTGGGGAGGGTCAGGGCCATAACCTACCTCTACTGATAGTCTTCAGTGCTCCCTTCTCAGCAACCTGAGTGTGTCTGGGAAGGAAAAGATGATTGCATCTCCAGAAAAGTCATTTCCACTGGTTCAATACCAGGTTCAGCAGACTCCGTTAAAGCTGATACAGTCCCTGTGGGTGAGTGTTTGCAGCATAGTCAGTCACTGGAGACTATAGAATTATATAATGGACACCATGTTTAACTATACAGATGCTCTGCTCATACAGGTGATGCTAGGTAACACTTGAAGTATAGGGCTGGAGTATTTCTGCCTAGAGTGCACACTGTTCTTGTAGTGCCCCTGACTTTGGTTCCCAGCACCCACATGAAGCAACTCGAGCTCCAGGAGATGCACTGCCTCCTCCTGGCCTCTATAAGCAGTGCACCCATGTACTCATACCCATCCCCCACACGCATATAATTTCAGAATAAGTTTCAACAATAGCTGTGAAGAGTAAGGTTGCCATGTTTAGAGCGGCCCACCTGTTTCAGATTATTCTTTTGAAGGCCCTAGCTCTATTCCCTTTCCCTTGTTCCCAGTGGTTTCCTCCCTGCAAATGATGATGCTGTTTTGTAGACTTCAGGCTTTTCTGAGAGTGTTTCAAAACCCCCGTATGAAACAGGCATTTCACAATTGGAATGTGACCATTCTAATTATATACAGTCAAACAGGGTGAGCATCCTGCAACATAGAATGAGTAAGGTGCCAAGGCAACATTCAAGTTTACCCATAAAGGCCCTCATGACATCAGATGGGGCCCGTTTATGTATAGGGAGAGAAAGGGCTGACCATGTGACCCTGTAATCTTAGCACTTGGGAGGCAGAGACAAGAGTATCAGTTCACTGCCATCCTAGTCTACCTAGGAGTTTGAGACCAACATGAGCTACATGAGACCCTGACTCAAAAAGTAAAGGAAAAGGAGAAGGTGTTGCAGTGTTAAACTGATAATATTCTCAATGGCATACAATCTGTGAAGGCCAGGTTAAATTTCAAGACGTGAGGAAGCTGAACATGGTGGTGAGTGTGTATAATCCTGGGCTATATAATTAATTTGGAGGCCAGCCTGGGCTATATGAGACCATCTCAAAATAAAACAAAACAACAAAAAGCATAGCAACTACAAGTATGTATGTTTCAAGATTTTCAGATAAAGGTTTCTGTAGTTTGCATAAAATCCAGGAAAAAAGTAAGCCATTCATATATGTGTATTTGTCTACACATAGAGTGAATCTTGGAGCAAGCAGGATACATTGACTAGGGAGTCTTTCCACCTTAAAATATGCTTTAAGTTGACATTCACTGAGTCTGGTAGAATTTTCTAAGTATCAGTCCTGAATAGAGTGGCCTGTAAGAAGCATTAATATCCATGCTTGTATTTGGGGACCTAGTCATCTAGAAATATGAACACAAGCTAGTATCAGTGCCCAGTTTCATCACCTCTGTCTTCGCACCTCTTGGGACCCTGTTCTATTTTAGGAGTGTGATTTTCCAGGGCAAGCAAACAAACATAGGCGAGAACCAAATATCAGCTGTGAGAATGAGATGTTTCCCAGGGTTGCTCTGACATTGCCTGTGTTATTCCCGCCGTGTGTTCAGTCAACAGCTGTACTGTGAACCCTTGTCTTCATGCTGGTGAATGCATCGTGGACCTCACTGGTCACGGGTATCGATGTGTATGCCCACCTGCCTGGCAAGGGGACAACTGCAGTGTGGGTAAGAGAGACGGAAACATTTATTATCATGTTACCTTGGGTTGTCTGGCTATTCAATAAGATCCTTTTTGTGGGGTTGACAGCACATACTTGCAGAGGACCAAAGTTTGGGTACTGTCACCCGTATCAGGCAGTTCACAACTACCTGTCATTTTAGCTGCAGTCGAATTGGACACCTCTGGCCTCTGCAGGCATCTGCATTCGTGTGTTCACACACATACACATAATTAAAAACCAATCATTTTTAAAAGAACCTTTTTCTTCTAGAGTGTGCAAGGGTAAGGTTTTTAGTTTCATAGTCTTGCTTGAGTGTTGGCATGCTGGTCTGTTGTATGTGGTGATATGAAGGACCACAGCATGATACAGGCCTGGTTCTACTCCATGGCCTCTCTGAACCCCTGTAACACTGGGCCATCTACAGCTCCCTAAAGATGCCTACACTCTCCTGCCCCAGGCATTCACTCTGCTGGTTCCTCAACTTGGAGCACAGCCTCCTCCCAAAGACATCCCTTTAGTCTTATTTATATTTAAATAGTATTTAATTCACCCCTACATCAAAATCTATTATTTCTGCTAGGCATGTCTTTAATCCCAGCACCCAGGAGCCAGAAATAGTGGGTTCTGTGTGAGTTCAAGACCACCCTGGTCTACATGGTGAGTTCAGGCCAGCCAGGGATAAAAGGATGGGACCCTGTCTCAAAACAATAACAACAAAAGCCAACAACAAACTAGATCTGTGTACAGCTCTGCACATTCAAACCCTGCCTTGTATTCTAGTTAACTCTTCATATGGCTGCCTCTGCCCTGACAGGTAGTCATCCCCTTGAGGACAAGGGTGGTTTCCTGCTCCTTTTATACCACACTCCCCAAGAGTTCCACTGGGTTCTTAGGACACATTGGATTGTCACTCTTTGTCTGCCATCCCATCAACGTGCTCTTGTTTGTCCTCCTCTGCAGATGTGGACGAATGCCTCTCCAGCCCCTGTCCTCCCTAGCCATGTGCAACAATACTCAGGGATCATTCACCTGCAGATGCCCAGTCGGGTATCAGTTGGAGAAAGGAATATGCAATCTGGGTAAGAGAGCTAAGTCTGTCTTAGAACTTATTGACTGCTTTTCTTCCTAATCAAAGCCAATCTTTTTTTTTTTTTTTTTTTGAGATATAAAATTCAGGACAATGGAAGGAAGTGAAACACAGTGCCTATTATTCTAACACTTGGAGACACAATACTTAGCTTCACAATTTGTTTAAATTGTTTAAATGTTCTGTTTAAATTCAAGATATATCCATAAGTATATCCCTCTTATTAAACAGTTCAAATACTGTAATGCCTGCAAAATATGCTTATTTATGCACAACATTTACTTGTTCAACCATTCTACCCTGTAGTTAAGGTGGGAAAAAAAAACCCAAAAGGATATTCTGATGACATAGATGTTTTGTAATTTTAAACTGAGAAAAGAGTAAAATTCTGACTGCCATCTGTGTGCACACATTCTTCTTGTTTTAAAAAGTGACCATCAAAGTCATCAAGTTGTTAGCCACAGACAGATAGATATATGTTGACGCAGCTGCTACCAGGATCTGGCTACCATATTGGTCATATTTTGTTCCTCATTTCAAATTCATTCTTCATCTTATAGGTTAAAAAGCAAATCAGCAAACCCAGTGAGAACTAAGGCTCTTTAGAGAGGCTCAGCAGCCAGGCTTGGGTCACCGCTGATGAGTCCTGGTCCCCAGCCCGCAGTTCTTTCTAAAGAGGGTGTGCGTTGTAAGAGCATTCCTGTACACAGGGCGTGGCCCTTGTTAGGTTGCTGAATGTAATACCTTACTTGCTGAAGGAACGAGAATGAGAAATACTGTTTCAAAGCTGTGGAAAGGAAACCATTGGCCTCTGTTTGTTGGTGTCACGCCTTAGGCACACCTGCTCAGTCCATATTTTTGAAAGAACAAATGTCTGTGTTTTCTGCAAGTACTGTCTGCATGAATTCCTATTACCCATAAGCAGAAGGGGCTTCTTAAGGCTGGCACTTTCCTAAAGTAAGAATTTTGAAAACTCTTTGAAATACAAGAATTTGGCGTTATTTTAGAAAGAAAAAAATTCTACAGATCTAGCCATGAGTCAAAATCAAGAATTCCTCTTATTGTCATAGTTTACATGCATTTGGGTAACGTGTCTCTTGTAGCCACGCCCTATGAGGAACTAGAGAGACTGTGCAGTTGGAAGGATGAAGGAGATGAGAATATTTTCAGTTCTCTTTGTGTTGTGAAGCCCGGTGCGTGGGAAGTACAATTGGCAGCAGGTTTCAAACGCCTGGCTTCAGGCTCTCAGCCACCACCTGCAACACACAGCCAGGACCTCTGTTTCCTCATCTGTAAAATCAGATTACAGTCTGCTCCACTTCTCACTGGAGGTTTTGGGATTGTCCAATAAAATGATCTGTTTGAGCAAGCGCTGAGTGTGGTAAAGAGCCATCCAGATGGGAGGCAGCATTCACCAGACGGGACGCTAGGACAACAAACTGCCCTCAGTGCAGACTAGTAGTTATAGGTCACTAGTGAAATCAGCAGTTAAACTGAGATAAGAAATCTGTTTTAGGCCAGTGAGAGGGTTCAGCAGGTGAAGGCACCTGCTGACAAATTTGACCACCTGAATTTGAGTCCTGGGGCCTGCATGATAGAGAGAGAGAACCAGTTCCTGCAAGCTGTTCTCATTTTCACACTGGTACTCTGGCACATGAATACATACACATGCACACACACATACACAAAGCACACTCAAAGTAAATAAATGTAATAATTTTTTTAAAATACCTGTCTTAAAGCTAGATGATGTGACTGCAGCCATGGAAGCTGGCTTGAATACATGGACTGTATTAGAAACACAGACACATCTGTGTCTTTCTACAATGTCAGAATTTATTGAGTAACAATAAATTCACAGGCTACTTCAATTTCATTTGCTATAATCTGCCAAGTTATTCTGATTTCCCTTGATAACTGGCCATTGGCAAGCATAGATTCTTTTTATTGCAAATTTAATTACTAATATTAACTCTGAGATCACACACACATCTATCTCTGTGTGTGTGTGTGTGTGTGGTGGTGTGTGTGTGTGTGTGTGTGTGTGTGTGTGTGTGTGTGTGTATGGTGGTGGTACATACACACCTTTAATCCCAGCACTTGGGAGACAGGAAAGCAGATCTAAAGTTCAAGGCCAGCCCGGTCTACAGAGTGAGTTCCAGGACAGCCAGGCCTCCACAGAGAAACCCACAGAGAACCCCTGTCTCAAAAAACCTAAATAAATAAATGCCTTCAGCAAATTCCTTCTCAGAAAGAGGCCAGGGTTTGGGAGCAGGCAATTTCTCCCCGAAGGCACATTCAGAAACTTCTGTGTGTCTATCCCTTATCCTGTGCATATTTCTATATGGCAAGTCTGGATTTGAACCTGGGCATGTGAACCGTGGAGATGACTGGGTCAGGTGACTGTCCTGAAAGCTTGTGTTCAGAGTTTCCCACAGGTAGCACAGATGGGAGGAATGAGGTTCAATTGTGCCAAAGCCATCTTTCCCTTTTCAAGTTATTTGGCTTCATTGTTCATAAACATCACAGGAACATGCAAATTAGAGCATGCTGAAATGCCTTCCCTTGGCCAAGAGTGTTTTCAAAGAGCTGCCTGCTGTTCAGAAAGAGTCCTAAGCAGCTGGCTTCACTGAACTGTAGAATAAGCAAAAGGATGTTAAATAAGGATTAGGGGCTTTAGACAGTTAACTCTAAGATGTTAGATGTTTTCCCTGGCTCATTTGCTGGCCTTTCCTCTTAATTCAGCATGCAGGCTCTGTGTTTTGGGTTACTTTTCTTCCATCCAGAGGGAAAGATATGAATTTAATATAATGAAAGATAAGAGCCAGGTCTAAAAACAGGCTGTGAAGGCAGGGTTTAAATGAGTCCACCAGTACTAATTTTTGATTGTCTGCCCATTTTCAGGTCCCATTCCCCTCAGAGCCAATCAGCACTAGAATTTTGTTTTATGAGTGAAATGGACCTTAAAAATGGGAATGCTTGCCCCATTTCTGGACCCAGCGGTGTTTCAAATGTGGGTTGTTTTCACTGTGTGGTTGCTAATTGTAGAATCTTTAGCACCTTGGGGTCTACATCTACTACAAATGTTTGCCCTGCTCCTTGGTTACCTTTTAGAAGAGGAAGGTGTGGTCTTCACCCCCAAGAAGATTCATACAGATATCCTATATGGGAATAAAGCTGGCCATCCCAGAGGTTTGCACAGCTTGTGTTGGGTCTCTCTATTGTATGGCTTAACAGGCAACATTTTCCTCTTCAGTTAGAACCTTCGTGACTGAGTTTAAATTAAAGAAGGCTTTTCTCAATACTACTGTGGAAAACCATTCCGACATTCACGAGGTTGAAAACGAGCTCGCTCAAACAGTAAGTCTCCCGAAAGGACTCTTCACGCTCACCCTTTGTTTTCTAGACCAGATTTTGTTCAGAAATGGACACCAGTCAGGGTCATCTATATCCCCCAGACTTGGTTTTGTTCTTAGAAGAGAAAGTTCAAAGTGAGAAGTATCCTGGAAATAGAAGGTGGTGGGATTTGCGGTGTCTGGGAAGAATGATGCTTCAGATACACAGTCCCTATCTGCTAGGCTTTCTTTTTCACATGCAAGTGCATAGTTAACAGACATGGTAATGTGGAAAGATCCAGAAAACTCTCATGTCCCATCCACTGTTGTCACCCTATTGACCTTCTCTCCCTGTTTTCAGAGCTTAGAAAGGTCACTCTTTCTCCTTGAAAGATACTAGTGGCCTGCTACTAATTCCATTAGCTGGGCTTATGAGCTCACAGTGAAAATTATCAGGGCCTTAGATGTTGTTCTTTCCCCCTTTGCTATTATTTCTAAAAAGAAAAAATGGAGAAAAAGAAATAAAACGAAACTCAATATATTTTGTTCTCCACTGCTGCCCAACTCAAAGATTTGGTGTTTGGGAACTGAAATTTGTCATTGTACTAAGTTAGAGATGAAATTAAATTAAATTGAACTTGCTATTACATTAAATTGGAGTTCATATATTAGCCAGGAATAGGTCTGTGGGTTGTATTTGTATTTTAATTCCATTTCTATGTCTAGTGAGCATTTAATGTGTGACGGGGACTATGTCAAATGCTCAGTCCTGTAAGAGGGTAGGTGACACATTTTCAGATGGAAGACTGGGAGGCTGTAGAAGTTGGCATTGTCTGAGTCCACACCAAGTAGAAGCGAGTTGAAAGCAACCCCCTAGGTCACCTGTATTACTCGCACTAACTGCAAGTTTGGATCTTTCTAAGAGCACTCTAAATTTCACTAATTTACTAGGAAGACCCACATATTGGAGGCCAGTATCCTCATATGTGTGGTTAATTGCACTAAAGGGACTTAAATTAAAATTGCCCACTGGGTGATGTGCTTGGGGCAGAGTCTGGGGATCCCAAATGCAGTGCTTCTAGCTGCTCTGTCCCTGTGGTGTTACTGACATTGTTGGTATCTCCTGGCAACTATATGGAGTACTGCCAACCACAGTGCTCACCTGTGTCTGGTGGTGTCTGAAACATTTATTTGAGCTTTGCCATATATAAACGTGGTTGACTCCCCATATGACTGACTTCAGTCCCTAGACCCAGAGTTCCCTCCATTGTTCGCATGGCTAGCGATAGGGACTATGCCGGACACTCTGGCATGGCACCAGAGTCCCAGCTCTGTAAATCGTTAGTATCAAGAAGGCCACTGTGAGGCTTAGAAACTGCCTTGCAAGGGCAGAGGCATGACCTCTCTCACCAAAAGAAGATTCATTGTTCTACCATTGCTGCTTCCTGGTTGTCTCATAGGTAGACATTCTCTTATTACATAGTGTAGAGGATTAGCGCCCTGGGCAAAAGTATAGTCCTTCATGTTACACTGTACTAAGCAACTTGCCTAAATATTTCTTGTTTGTTTGGCCAAATATCACCATATAAAACACTGAGCCATGACACACCTAACCCCAACTAACTTAAAGAATTAAACAGCCATTGGGAACATCACTAGTGTGAGCTTTCCCAAAAACGGCATTCTGTCCTTACCTGGAGAAAACGTTACTAATAAAGCAACAATGATAAGCCATTGCTCTTAGAATATAAAGTAATAACATACAAAGCTGCAAACCATTTGGTAGCATCCCATGCTTGATAACATCCCATCTAAGTCAAGGGGCTCTGGAACATAGCCTTTGAAGACAGGTGGGTCTGTCTGGGATGAGATTATTGAGACACTCTGCTCCATAAAAGGGATCTCCAGGCTGGGGAGGGCTGCTAGGGAGGCCCAGCTTGGCTGTGGAGGCTGCTAGGGGAGGCCCAGCTTGCCTGTGGAGGCTGCCAAGGAGGCAGGTACAATGCTTTATGTGGATGAGGTCTTTCTGTTCTCTCTGGGGCACACGGCAAACACATAGCTCTTAATTTGTTCTCAACAAAAGAGCTCTTGACCCACATCATGTAACTTCCCACAGAGAGCCTTTCTGAGGAAGACCTATCTTTGAGTGAGGTCAGCTCATTGAGGAGCCTGTGGGGCCCATCAGACCTGGGGAGCTGAGAGGAGCTGGGGGCCTTTCCAGAGAGCTTGCTCGCTATGCAGAATCCAAATAAACAGTTGCCTAGGTCTTTTGAAACCCTGGGTCTTAGATGGGATTGTCTCCTTTGAAGATGTTTTGTTTCTCTGAACATCCTTTCCTGCCGAGATTCCCTCACTATCTGCCCTACTCCCTTTGTTCTCGGGGAACAACAGAAAGATATTCAGGAGGGGAACACAGGCTACATTGCTTTGGGTAAAGCTGCCTGCTGATAACTTGATGGCTAGAAACTACCTATTTTATCCTGAAAATAGGAAATTGGTTCTTGGTTCAGGGATTTTATTTGACAGCCCTGTTCTTTGTTTCAGTTAAACTTGTGTTTTTCAACGTTGCCTGGGTATATCCGATCTACAGTAGGTGTGTCTAGGTAAGAAACAGAATTTCTTTTGCTTGTGAACCAGTCAGTGGAATAGGGGGGCCATTCCCACATGGGTGATCAAAATGAAGGCAGTCCCTGTTTTATTACCACTCCACTGGGTAACCCAAGGCCAAGGTCACTGGACCTGTGGGCTCTCCTTTCACAGGAGAATGGCAGTAACATTTACTTGTAAACTGCCTGGGGCCCACATGTCACCTTTGGTCAGTTAAGGCCTCACTTACCAACTTTGTTCACAGAGAGCCTAGTACACTGGCGATCTCACTGCAGTCCACCTTTGCCCTGGCCTCCAATGTGACACTATTTGACCTGGCTGACGGAATCCAGAAATATGTCAATTCCTGCAGGTCCTCTGCCGAAGTCTGCCAGATCTTGGGGTCTCAGAGACGAATCTTCAGAGGTAAGGAGAGATTCCTCTAGGACTCACATAGAATGGGAAGACATGGCACGTGTTCAGGGTTCAGGCAAGCTCTTTCACAGAGCATACTTTAGAAGATCTGACACGCAGGCCTTCATGATACTCAGATGCACACAGATCTGTCTGCGCATGGCCTTTCGGCATCTAGTCCTTGGCATCGGCTCCTTCTGTTTCTTCTGTACAGTGCTGGGGTGAGAAGATGCTACGGGAGCTTACTCCTGTTTCCTAGGGAAACAGAAAGTGACAAATACAGTGTGCAGGCTTACCAATGACCCATCAACCTTCATATGGTGATTACTAAGAAAAAACAAAGACCCCTGTGTGGTGTTACCTGTCTTTTGTTTGCTCCCTATCATTAAAACATGATGATCCAAGAGTGCACAGCAGGATGCTCCCAGGATGCCATAATGATGAGGGTCTCCCTTCCTTAGTTCTTTTTTTGTCAGAGGCTCTTGCCTTGTGTTATGGTAAGGCCAATGAAGAAGGTGATTAAAGGCAATTCTGGAAGGCACACTTGTGTCTTGTGGGGATAATTTTACATCTGGGAGAGGAAAACCTGCTGGAATCAGAAGTGCCTCTAGGCAAAGAGAGCTAGTCCCTGCTGGCGCATTGTAAGTGATCAAAGTGGACTCTGGTTAGTTTGCTGTACCACTGGATGAGGGCTGGCAAAGGAAGGAGAGCCGAGGCTAAGCCTCCCCATCTGGCATCCAGATGTTAGACATAAACTGAAGGTATCGGGTTTTGATGCTATATCCGCTGGTTGGTCTAGGATATTCCCAGTAGGTCAGGATTTTGTAACTGCTGGTCCAGGGGCTTTCCTTGCATGAGCAAGTGCACTGCAGAGCTTGGGAGTTGGCACTTATCCTTCCATTGTTAGATGAGCTCTTGGGGGTTGGCTGCTTAGTAAGTGGGGGAAATGGATTAAACATAGTCGAGTCGGGGTGTCTTGTTTCACAGTTCATGCCCTGCTATAGTGTACTGGAAACTTTGAGGCACTCTGGTTTTATGTTTTTGTTCCTCTTGCCAAGAACTCAAGGGCACCATTTTTTTTTTCCTGCCACTGAGGTAGGTACCCTTCAGTTTGCTAACCATTTCTGGACTGCACTTTGTGTGGTCAGCATGGAGCCAGGGTACTTTCTGTTGCCAGCACATGCATCTGTGTCCTGCAGATCAAGTGGCTGGATTATGTGGATTTGTAAGAGCCTGTTCTTAGCTGTGCCTACTCAGTCAGCTGCCTTGTCTGGACTGCCCCCGTGTGGTTTATGGGAACACTCCTGACACCTTGCGCCAATCCTCACTGCTCCTTTCCAATCCCTTGAGGATAAAGGCAGCCATGCATATGGGCCAAAATTGGGTTCCCATCCCTGTTTTTCCTCCAGACCTTCTCTAGGTTTGGTTAAGAAGTCCAGCTCTGTTCTTGGTAATTTTTCTGGAGCTAGAGAGGTAGGCTAGACCAGCAGGTACAATATACTGGATATCCAGCATCTGGGCATCGAGGCTGCTCTGGGCATTGGCATTGGCAAACATGGTTTTCTCTCCCTTCAGTTCACTGAATGTCCGCCTCCCTCCTTTCAAAGCACTTTAGTTCTCATGGTCTCCTGAAGTTTAGGGACTATGGAAGGCCTCAACCTTAGACTCATGCGTGTGCCCATTGTCTATTTTGATGGATGCTAGCTATGGCCAGGAAAAACCATGGGAATTGTGAATGCCAAGACTCACATCTCCAGGGACCGATTTAAGTGAGATTCTGCATGGCCCTTTTGGGTGGCTTTATGAAAAATGTTCTTTGAGAAGGCTGAGAAAAGTGGCTCCTCATGGCAGGGGTAGGACCTGTCCTCCCTGTTCAAATAGGAATCTGATGCTGGGCAGGAAATGGTTGCTTTGGCATGGCAATGAATATTTTTGCTAGCAGCCTAGATCAGTAGACAGGATGGAAGGAAAGCTTAACATTGATGTCTAGAAAATATCTACTGAGACCAGGCATTTCCCAGGCTAGGATTGCCTGGACATCGCTTTATCAAGAGGTGTTGCTTTCTGTTAACTGTTGACTGGAAGAGCCTTCAAAGAGGCCGGATGAGAGGTTGGGAAGCTGAGGTCCTCCCTGGTGCCAGTTCTATAGAGTTTGCTGGGTGGGATTTTTTTTTTTTTCTGTTTAAAAGTCTCCCCTTAAATACAAGCTTTTTACAATGAACAAAGGAACTCAGATTTAATACGTCAGTTTCCAATAATAAAGGCAGGAAATCCAGCACTGAGAATTAAAGCTGGGCCCTAACTCACCCCACTGGGACCAGACCATCTCCCAGCCTCAGTTCTCAGGACTCTCACAGGAGTGGATGCTGGGAATTCCACAAGGGCTGTGAAGCCCTGACATCAGCTCCCATCACTAGAACTTGCCCAGACAAGGGTTAATCTTGCAGTGATATTTACTGAAACCTTCTGTAGAGCTCAGGTCTTTTCTTTGAGATGGAAGAGGGGAGACTATACCTACAAAGTTGACAGCCACCTTTCATCGTACAAGGCACACACTGCCCATCCCATTGCAGGTCTCCTCCCCTGCTGAACCTGCTGTTGACTCCCAACAGCCACAACACACAACCGCCTTACTTTACCTTGTGCATGGGTAATAAGTTACTGGTCACTATTGAGTTGGTTTCATAATTCTGTTTTTTCTGTGCACCCATTTACATGTGCCTCTTTCCCTGTCTTGGGTGGTAAACCATATCCTTCATTTTGTTTGCTGTATAAAAGCTCACAAAGGAGGCGCCCATCAATGAATACTTTTGGTACTATTAAACTGTTTCTTCATCATCCATACGGTGAATAAAGTCCACAAATGAACAAGCAAGTGGCCTTAAAGTTCCTTCCTTGCTTGCTTCTGGTTCTCCTGGGGATGGTGTGGTGACTGCTGGGCAGCATGACTCCCCACACCCCTTCTACCCCGCACATGCTCACTTGCTGGTCTCTGCGCTGAAGAACCAGTGCTGAATAAACCTCAAGAAATCACCCCTGTAGTGAGAAGACAGCCAGACAAACGGCTTCCTGCAACCCCGGGGAACCAGACTACCATTCAAACCTGTCTCTGTAATAAATCCTACAAAGACAGCACACTGGGGACAAAGCAAGCTGCCCTACCACAAGGCCTGGTCCTGGGGCCCCTGAGGACACACAGGGCCCAGACTGCTTCCATTTGAGACTGGTCTGGCCCGAACTGGTTGGTTTTGGTCCAAGCTCTTAACTCTCTAAGAACATGGTCACATTTCCTGGGTCTGTTCCAGCCCCCTCCCTGCCCCATCATCCAGGCCTTTAATGTGAAGGTACAGAATATACCACAGTGAGGCTGCATTTGTAGGTGGGCAGAGACCTTCCCTCTTCAGCTTGGTTTCCTCCAGAGGGAATGCTTGTGACCCAGAAGCAAGTGGCAGAGGAGAAATATGGCTTCACGGAGACTCTTAGCCTCTTGAAATAACAAGTTCATACACCGTAAGGTGTGAGGAAGAGGTTTGGTTTGGTTTGGTTTCACTGTCTTGTTTTCACATCCCAGCGGGCAGCTTGTGCAAGCGGAAGAGTCCAGAATGTGACAGAGAGACCCTCTATCTGCACGGACCTGGATGGCGTCGCGCTGTGTCAGTGCAAGTCGGGCTACTTTCAGTTCAACAAGATGGATCACTCTTGCCGAGGTAGCCATGGGTCCCAGCAGTTCTGAATGCCTTCCTGAGATAGGCAGGTGCCATGCATGCCATGCTGGTAGTCTCTGCTCTGGGGGACACTTCTAAATAGGGGGTAGCTGGTCCTTGCTATTTGGCTTGCAGCAGGAGTGGATACAGTAAGTATCTCCTTGAATGTATCTCCCTATTCAAAGAGAAGGAGAATGAAAACTATCACAAGGGTCCCCTTCCCCTCCCTTCCAGTTGGAAGAAGTTAGAAAAAATGTCTTCATCCCCAAAGCTTTGTGTGTTGCTTGTTAACCACCAAAGGTGAAAATGCAGATGCAGAGAGGGCCTGGGTTTTTCAGGGCCACTGTGACTCAGTAGTGAGTGTACTCACTGATGCCCAGGATACTGGGTCAGAGCCACATTCAGCCTCATCAGTTAGATTTCATCTCAAGCAGGCACTTGACTTCTCTGAGCCTCAGTTTCCTCTTCCTTGAAATGAATGTGGTGACACTTCACCCTGAGAATGACAGAAAAGCTGTGTCTAAAGCTGTGCTTTGTAACTCTGGGGACTTGCTCTTGTATTTGTCTAGGGTCGTTGTTGATTTGATGGGTTATTATTTAAGATTTCTTTGGTATGTTGGAGAGAAGAAATCTAATTCTGCCAACCTTTTTTTTTATGTTTATTTGTATCTCTATGTATGAGTGCCCCTGCGTGTATACCTGCATTCCAGCAGAAGGGCATCAGATCCCACTGTAGATGGCTGTGAGCCACCATGTAGTTGCTGGGGATTGAATTCAGGGATCTCTGGAAGAGCATCCAGTGCCTCCTTCACCCTCTGAGCCATCTCTCCAGCCCCATTCTGCCAGTCTTTTAGACGCTGAAGAAAATTTACTCCATCTGAGATGAAGTCCACACTCAATGAGTGTGAACCAAAAAGTTTGCCTTGAAATAAAAAGTTTTTATTGTGATCCAGAGTGCCATGTTCCCGGCTCCCAAGATGATCAGCAGGGCTGGCGATATAGAGGCTACTTTTTCACAGTCACAACCAACGGCACAGATTTCCTACTCAGTCAACACCTTGCTTGTGACAGATGAGCTGGGATCCTAGAGAAAATCACACAAGGGCAAGGTGGCATGCCACTTGGGTCAGGACTGCCCCTTAAAGGACTCATTTCATCAAGAGAATATAGAAATATCTTTTGGGCAGCACTTTCATCTTGAACCTTAGACTTTCTGTTGGTGTTATGTTTAGATAGAAAATCTCTATTGAGGTCCCAGGTCAGCCTTCCACATGCAACCTGTGATAGGAACACCTACTTTCCGAGTTGGGCTTCAGGCCTGGTGTGATTGGTCCCCAGAATCTCATGGCCATGCCGGACCATTGCTTCGCCTTCAAGACAATGCTCCTAACCCTTTCTATCTGCTTCTTCCTGCCCTTGTTAGAGCTAGGGGCTGGAGCTTGGCTGCATGAGGGAAAGTGATGGCGCTGATGTCAGTGTGTGTTGTGGTAATTAAGCTGTGTGCTATGGAGCTTGTAGACAAAGGTGAGCAGGACTGGGAGCGTGCAGAGGAGCTAGCCTCATGCACAGTGCTTCAAGCATGGCCGCCTGCCACCCTTGTTCCTGACTGGCTCTGGGCCACTTCTTTCTGCTCCAAGTCAGCAATGTCCCAAACCGTGTCTTGGCAGGCAACCTTGGTCAGAGGTGGCATTGTGTAAGCCTCTAGAACAAGGTCATCTGCTTTAATTTTTATATAGCTCTGAGTGTATGGCCAAGACAGTATAGTGATGTCTGTGTGAGGAAGCAAGAGGTATGTGTGTATGCTACATAAAAACTTGGCAATGGACAGCTTAAATTATAGCATTTTAGGTAGCTCCGCTGTCCCTCAAGCTAGCCCACTGTTTTCCCGTCTCAGCTTCCCAAGGGTTTCAAGCCTATGTAACTATGATCCTTTTTAGGATATCATTTTCAAGTGTGCTTTAGGAGACGAGAGGTGCCTTACAAACTTATGTTTACCCAGTAATGACCAAGAAACAGCCTGGGAGACCCTGACTAGCCTTGTTGAACACCTGGGAGGCCCTGCCTCAAGCAGTGGTCATGGGCCTCTAACAAATGAATACTAGAGTTTGTGAAATCTAGCTCTGTCAGATGGATTAGTAGTGACATCTTCTGGCCATTTGTGCTAGCACAGACATTTAAAGTTAAAATATGTATCCTTCCAAGGCTTTTCTGTTTCCTTCCATCAGACAGGCATCAGTTCTAGGAACTTATTTCCCCCTCTGACCAGATTGAAACTAGTGTTTTTAAAGGTTTGTTTTTGGGGGGGGAGGGAGGGGAGTGCTTTGTTTTTTAAAACAGTGTGTCACTCTGCAGTCCTAGCTGGCCTTGAACGGAGACCCTCCTGCCTCTGCCCCCTTACTGCTGGGATTAAGGGCATACACCATTACATCTGGAAAATGATTGATTGATTGATTGATTGATTGATTGATTGATTGATTGATTTTGTTGTTAGTTTGGTTTGGGGGGTGTTTTTGAGAGACATGGTTTCTCTGGAACCTGTCCTGGAACTCACTCTGTAGACCAGGCTGGCCTAAAACCCACAGAGATCTGTCTGCCTCTGCCTCCCAGATGCTGGAATTAGAGCTGTGTGCTACCACTGCCAGCTAAAATTTTATTTTAATTTTATGTGCTACGCATGTGCATGCACCCTAAGAGTCCAGTAGAGGGCATCATATCCTCCAAAGTGGGAGTTACAGGTGGTTGAGAGCCAAACACCTGTCTCTTGACGCAGCAGTGCTCTTAGTCACTAGCCATCTCTGTAGCCCAGATTCTAACAGTCTTCATCTCTTTGATGACAAGCACTTTAGGGGAGAAACCTATATCTAGGATAGGGCTTAGCATGATGTCTATTGCAGTGACCATGGGGTAACAAATGTGTCTCGGGATCAGCACGTCTCGACTCAGTGTCCTACAAAGGGTTAAGCCTCTGCCATGTACTTTAAACTTGATTTTGAACCCTTAATAGTAGGAGAAACCCAGTGAGGCCATATATGCAAATTCTTGCTTCATTTGTTCTGTCTCTAGTGCTCTGGGGTCAGAGTCCCTCTGGGGGGTATGTGAGGAACAGGGAGTGTCTTTACCAACAAGGTTTTCCCTAAGAGTCCCAAGAGCAACACCAGGCACACAGGAACACTCAGCCTTTGACAAATGGTGGATACGCCCTTTAAAAAAAATACTTTGTGTATATGTTTGTTCATTTGTGTTTGTTGTGAGTACATGTGGTGATCAGAGGACAACTTGATGGAGTCTCTTTCCTTCCCACCGTGGGTTCCAGGTCATCGTGCTTGGTGGCAAGCGTCTTTCTTTACCCCCTGAGAAACCTCACCTGCTCATGCCCTTTTGATTGGAGAGATTTGTTACATTAGGGAGTCAGGGTACTTTTGATGCTAAATGAAAATAGCCCACGCCGCCAGCTGGAGCTCACAGGCAGGACAGCAGATGGCCCTTGCACACGGCTGGGTGACAGTGAGGCGTGGAGAGCCCCCACCCAACAGATGAGGGTGGGGTGTGCAGATGGACATAAAGATGTTTTCAGAAGGAAGTGTTCAGAATAGCATGCACTGGAGACATCAGCCCATGTCAGTTAATCCTAGCAGGTGCATCTCTGAGTTCTAGGCCAGCTTAGTCTACAGAGTGAGTTCCAGGATGGCCAGGGCTACACAGAGAAATCCTGTCTCAAGAAGAAAGAAAGAAAGAAAATAAAACTCATATATAAAGAAACAAAATTTTTTAAATATTAATGGGGGCTAGCAGGATGGCTCAGTGGGCAGATTCATGGGCCCCAAAAATACCAGAAAAGAGCTGACTTCTGAGACTTGTTCTTTGACCTCTACCTATGCCCCACACATACATGCACACATACATAAGTTAAAAAGTAAATAGATAAATAAATACTTGAAAGCACACTGACTGGGCAGGGAGAATGAAATTAACAAGAAATTTACCAAAGAAGAAACACAAAAAGCAGTAACTTTTTTTTTCTTTTTGTTTGTTTGTTGAGACAGGGTTTCTGTATTGTTTTGGAGACTGTCCTGGAACTAGCTCTGTAGACCACACTGGCCTCGAACTCACAGAGATCTGCCTGCCTCTGCCTCCCGAGTGCTGGGATTAGAGGCGTGTACCACCACTCCGCCCTGCTGAGCAGTAACTATTTTTAAGAGTGGTTAACAGGGAAAAGCAAATCAAAGATATTTTGTGAGATAGGGCTGCACCCCACTTGGAATGGCTCACGTCAACAGATCTGACACAGCAAGTGTTAGAGAGGAAGGGAGGCAAGGAGCCCCCTATTCACTGCTGATGGGGGCACAAATCAATACATCGGTATGGGAGTCAGTTTGGAAGTTTCTTAAAAGATTAAAAATAGGACTACATGAGTCAGCTG